TTAAGGAGAATTCCACTCGTTTTTTTTAAATTTAAAAGATTAAGATGAAAAAAGTCATTCAGAGTGGTTTGGTGTGAAATGCTCAGTCAGAACTGTTCACAGTGGTGGTGATAGGAACCAGACGTCCACCTCTAAAAGCTCCCTCACTGAAAGTTACTACATGAAGTGGTTATGAATTCACTGCCTGATGACTGAGACACAGATTTATGATAGTTCTCAGATCATATTTTATTGTGTGCATTAATGGTGGAGGGATACATGCAGGGTGTTGTGAGGTAAAATAGTCCCCGATTCGCCACTATTTTACGATCAACATTCCATATAAACTCAGAAGACTCACTGGTGGTTTTGGATTGTAAATAAAATGTCTATATTTGTGTTGTAGTCATGGCGACCCCTGGTTCCTATCACCACCACTGTAAAGAAATCCAAGCCGGTAAGTTTCTCTATAATGAACAATAAACAGCTTTGTTTACATTTCAACGACTGAATCATGTGTAACAAAGAAAAAAAAACAAAAAAAAAAAACAGTAAAATTGGTGGAATTCCCTTTGAACCTCATTAATATCCTGAACTCTATATTTTTAATTTGGTTCTCTGAACATTTTAGTTTTTAATCACTTCTATTCAGCTTAGTCCCTCCAATCACACCAAACAATACAAAATGCAAAGCTGACTGGGAATAAAAGTATGAAAATTTTATCTAATCAAAAAAATCTAATCAGCTCTATCAGATGCTATAACTATAAAAATTTCACCACTTTCGACCAAACAGATCGAGCTCTGTGGCGTTTTTCCTCATCTGCTTGTGCAGTTGTTGGTCATGAATGGGTTAAATCCTCCAGTCTGCTGAGAAACCCTGCTCTGTGAAATACCCCGCAGATCTGAAACACAGTGTTGAGGCCAAGGGGGTCATTATTTCATATCCACATACAGACGTGTGAGTGAAGAGGAAACAGCAGGACACTGCCAGCAGTATCGGCTACACAGACGACAGCTAAACGAACAGAAAAGCAGGCAACAGTGAGGGAAGGCCAAAGATTCGGGCAGCGAACTGTAGCTAGGCCTCAGATCAGTACATTCTAATCAATCAAGAGTTTATTTGGCTGTTTCCTTCTCAAAAACATGAACAAAAGACGTTCAGTCTAACTCATCACTACAGGGGGGTATTACTAATTATTAATGAAAGAAAACGCATCTGACCCAGGAGATTAAATATTCAAACGTGGAAAGGGATGGCATAGTGTTTCAGCTGTTATAGTGTTAAAATATTATAATGAAATAAATTTCTACAGAAATAACAGTAAACTCATCTCTCTCAGTACCCCAAACAACCGGCCTCTACACAAAATCCCTTACTGCAGTCCAGAGGTGGGCGGTCCTTGTAAGAGAGGACCACACATCTGCACAGTTTAGTCTTTTCCCTGCTCTAAGACGCTTCTTTGAACAGGCTCCACGGTTCCTCCGTGGTTACAGTCGCTGGGTTGGACAAGCTTAAGAGAACGCTGGTATTCAACACAATGAGAAAATGTTATATCACAATTCCTACATTTAGAGCGAGATATTCATTTACAGTCATATTTAACCGGTGTGCAGGTGAAACACCACACTGTTGATAGTTTTTCTGTTGTATCTCTCTCTCTCTCTCTCTCTCTCTCTCTCTCTCTCTCTCTCTCTCTCTCTCTCTCTCTCTATCTATATATATATATATATATAGCAAAAGCTCTGACGACCACTGACAGCCGGCCAATCACAACACAGTTTCAGAAATCAGTAGTGCCCAATCATATGTCGGGACCCGCCCACAATAGTCAAAAATAAAATTAAACTCTTGCGCGAGCAGAAGCTCAACAGCGAGCACAAAGAACAGCTGAGTGTCGGGCTAATTTTCCTCTTCTTCTGCAGGGGGGCTTTTCCTTGCGCGAGGAAAACTACTCTCGCGTGTGCGAACACAACTGCTCAATTTCACGGGAATTGGATTTGACGCCATAGTTTAACTGGATTTAGTGCACATATATAAAACAAAAAATGTATCTGTTTCTTTTGATAGTATTTTTTTAATATGCCACTACATTAGCCTCTCGCGCGCGAGAGTAGTTTTCCTCACTTGTGAATTTTGAATTGGATTTGATGCCATATTAAACAGGGCTAATTATGGACTCTCTCTAATGAAATGTGCAGTTGGTCAGTGTTCATTAGGTCCACAAGTGTTCACAAGTTACTGACCGTATCTGTGATATACTCAGAAAAGCATAAATGTAATTTATCACAGTAATGATAAATACCGTTATATCGCCCAAACAATAGGCTAAGAAGAAACTTCAGTCGGTTCAGTCGGTTTTCAATTTGCTGTTCTCCATCGCTGTCTCTGAGCAGCCTGACTTTACTGATATAGCTCGAGACACACTGTACATTTAAGTATTTTAACCATAATATAATAATAAATAATAAAACTGTATTTGTATTGCCCTTTAAAAAGTGCCTCATACAGAAATGTAGGTAAAATACTGATCGTTTCTCAATAAATTTGAATGGGATTTTTTTTTAATCAGTGTTCTGTAAAGCTTGTCCAACCTCGCAAGAGATGCTGACCAAAGAATGCATTTGTGGGTGGAGCCTGGATAGGTCAACGATCAAGCCCTTGGAGCGCTGGGATGAGGAAAACACTGAAGTGTGCAGAGCACGCCGCGCCGATCATAGTCCCTTCTGTCAATCCAAAGCCTGGGGACCAAAACGCACTTAAACATGCTGCACATCACCGTGTAAAAACAAACAAGAACACTTTTGCGGGGGGTGAAGTTAGAGCTAAGAGCGGCGTGAAGGACTGAAGCTTCTGTATTTGTGTGTGGCTCAGAAACGCTACAGACTGAGCAACTGTATATACAGCACACAGTACTGAGTTAACCTGTACAAAACACAGTTACACAGCTACGGTCCCTAATCAAACACAGGTCCATATCACAGCCTGACCAGCAGGGGGCAGTCAGGGGACCAGTTCAGTCAAACTACTACTTCATTTTATTCATTTCTCTCTCTCTCTTTTAACTTTGCTGTATCAAGTGTAGGAAAATTCTCCGCCAGAGTTTTCCTATTAGTGAACTTCGCCCAGTTTCCATTTCAGACTGGGACATCAGCGCTTAAAGACTCGCTAAGCAACATTTAACCGCTCACTAAGCTTGTCCTGATACAAGAATAGGATAATATCTTGAGCCACACAGTGAAATCAAGGCATGCTATAGTCCTCCACTTCTGTGCACTGTGAACTCCTCTTACGTACTTAAACCCGGCAATACGTAATATCTAATATTTATTTTACTCAGTCTCACTTTAAAAGAATTGTTCATTAAAATCAAATTTACACAAACACTGCAAGAACTGGTCTCTTGGCAAGTGAAATGATCTTAAATCTAGCTGATATATCTAATATATTCTATTTTGAGATGGTTGTGCACTTATTATAAGATTATCCAGCTTATTTCCAGGATATTTTACTTGGTTTAGGTCATTTTATTAAGTAAAATTGTCTCACTATACTGGCAGATCATTTTGCTGGTTTCCAGCACATTAATTAAAACAATAATGAGATCATTTTACTTGTAAAAAATGTCTAGAAATAAGTTAAATAATCTTAATTTAAGTTTACAACAATCTCAACAGGAGAAATATTAGATTTTTTGACCATATTTAATATAATTTCACTTGAAAAGATACCATTTTTTGCAGTGAAGACATGATGGTGCCTAAAGTTTTGCACTGGAGATACAAAACCCATGTAAAAGTGTGTCACCAAAATGAAAAATGATTTTAGGTGATATAGGATTCTATTAAGTATAAACGGCACAAATTCAACAATCTCTTCGTATTTTTTCACTTCATGTCCACTTATGAGGTGTTTGTGTGGTTATGTACGAAAAACCACCATAATTAATTTTATATTTTTACTCTCTTAACCCTTCAGAATTAAAGACTGATATCAGTCTGGGCTGAAACACTCAACACACTGCAAGAAATGATATCTTGTCAAGTAAAAGTATCTTAAATACATTCAAGAAATCTAATGTTTCTCCTTTTGAGATTGTTGTAAGCTTAATTTAAGTATATTTAACTTATTACTAGACTTTTTACTTGTTTTAAGTAATTTTATCAAGTAAAATTATCTCACTATGTTGGCAGATAACTGTGCTTGTTGTAAGAAATGAGCTGGAAACCAGCAAAATGATCTGCCAGTACACTGAGATAATTTTACTAAATAAAATTACCTAAAACAGGTAAAATAATTCTGGAAATAAGCTGGATAATCTACTAATAAGTGCACAACCATCTCAAAATGTGAAACATCAGATATTTCAACTAGATTTAAGATCATTTCACTTGACAAGAGACCATTTTTGCAGTGTATACTTGCTTTTTAGCTTGATTGCCAAATTATAGAAGCAAACTTAAGACACCAAACATGTCTTTGGCTGAATTACTACATTTAAAGTAAGCAGGAAACTGTGTAAATTTGATTTTCCATTCTTTAAAGACTAAATAAGGGCGGATGCTGAAAGCTGAACTATGAAATGGTGGATGGGATGAAGAGGCTTTGCATTCCTGGAAGCCACTGGCTGTGCTGGATGCATGAAAACGTTCTAACCTTATTTCTTTGTAAACGTAGGCTACTATAGGAGGGGGTCATTTCAGCTGTCCATTCAATTAAGGTCATCTGTGGTAAGTCACGTTAATATCCGTCTACATCTAAGCCTACGAGGTCCAAGGCAGTCTGTCCATTCGTCCGTCCGTCTGTCCGTCCGTGTCTCGGTCACGCGAAGTCAGTCATTCCTTTTCTCTCCTGGAATGTGAGAAGTCACCATCTTCCAAAGTTCCTTCCTTCAGAAGGTCAAGGGGTCAAAGTGCCAAAGTACAGGTGCGTCGGCCATGGCTGGAACATGGACGCAGGTGATGCTCCTCTTCTTCCTCTTTCCTTCCCTCCTTTCCCTCCGCTCTCTTCCTCTCTCCTGTTTTTTTTTAGTGTGGTAGTGGGACGATCACCTCCACATAGTTGAGTGGGAAGAATCCTGATTGGCCGTGCAGCATTCCTTCGTACCAGTTCTCGTCAATCTGATTGGTCAGAGTGATGATATCACCCTCCCTGAAGCCCAGCTCGCCCTCGTTCTCCGGCTCAAAGTCGTACAGAGCCTTACAGCACGGCTGCTCCGCCGGACCTGCAGGGAAACAAAACATAAAAGAAGCGTTAGAGATGGAAAAAGTTGTGAAGTCTGCAAAGAGACGAGTGCAGCAGTAACTGGAGCATTAGGAGGTTAAATTCAGAAGAAGGATTAACCCAGAGATCATTCACTCTCAATCCTGGTCATGGAGCACCCCTGTACATCATATATCGCTGTTGTCGGAAGAAAACCTCGTATCTCATTTTTCAGTTTTGACATAATTTGAAAATGCCTGTTGCTCTTTACATTGTGTGTAAATTTCATCATGAATGGACTAAAATAAACGGCCCAAAATTACTTGTAAAAACCTCTGGTTCCATTGACTTACATTAGAAGTAAAGTACGTTTTTTCCTTCTCCTGTGAAGTTACCATTTTGAAGATATAAGCTTTTCTTCCAACAACAGCGATATACAGTTCTATGCAGAAGTCTGAGCGACCCTATACCTACTTTCTTTATTTTAGTAAAACAAATGATTGAACATTCCAGTTTGTTTACTACGAAACAATCGTAACACTGACAAAACCTTTGCAAAGACTGTTCTGGTAGAGTCAATTTTATCTCATTTTGAGCAGAACTCAAAAACACAGCCAGTACATGACTACACACCCAAAAACGAAGGTTCTTCAAGTGTTCTATAGTAAAGAAAACGGTTCTATGTAGAACCATGAACATTCAAAGACACCCTTTGCATGATTAAAGCGTTCTTTGCATGGTGATCCAGGGGTTACGCTTCGGGACAGATGCCTCCCAATAGAAAGTATCCTATAAATGATGATGTTGTATGTATTTTGCTTATTACTATCTCAGTCAAAGCCTTTGGTTTAAATAGTAAGTAAATATATTGTAAATATCTGAGGTCTGAATACTTATCTCTTTTACATTATTTATTTATTTATTTGTTTTTACTGCGGGGCTGCAGTTTGGCCCAATTCGGTGGAACGGTCCATATAAAAAAAAGGTCTTCCACCAACTGAGCTGTGAGAGATCCCGACTGTGGTGCTCCAATACACCCACTTCAACTTGAAAAGGGTTTGTTGATCAGCTGATTAGTTGGATCTGGTGTGTTAGAACAGGAAAAACCCTGAAAGAAGCAGTGCAGGGGTACTCCAGGACCGAGACTGGACACCACTCCTGTAATAATGTGGAATTATGACACCGATTAACCCACAGGTGCAATCTTCCAGGCAGCAATCACTTCTTCTTGGACCCACAGGCTGAATCAATTACAGAATATTATCACCCAAGGATAAATGTGAACTAGGCAACAGTAATATTCTCTTCTTCATTAACGCAACATGTTGTCTGGGGCACATCACACCCTTGGACAGGAGACAGACTTCAGCTAGAACTCATTCCAACTGAGGCCTTGTTTGTGGAGCTGCTGACATTCAAACAAAGTGCTTCTCAGTCCCGATCCTGGGAAACCTCGACACTAATTTAAACCTTTTGTGAACTGGGAAGAGTTTAGTGTCTTAATCCAACAGACTTAAATACAATAATCTGTCACAATGACTGTAGATCATATGGACATTATAGAGCAGGGGGTGCCAAATGTTTTGTTCTTGGGGTGCAATAGCCAAAGTACAATGTCTGAGGCAGGTTTCAAATAAAGCTTTTAGAAATGTATTTTATAACATTATATTTCAAAATGCAATTTTAATTCAAAATTAAGAATTTAACATATAATATTTAAGATATATCATGTAAAATAGAGTCATATGCAAAAGTTTTTGGGCACCTTTGACAAACTGTTTTGTTGATTTTCTAAGTGAAAATAAGTTAAAACACATCTTCAGAAGGTTACACTGTTCTGCACATTTTAATTGCGCAATTACTGTTTATTTCATGAATTTAACACATTTCAAATAAGACAAAACATAAAATGTGGCCTTTGCAAAAGTTAGACATTTTATAATTTTACTACATGTTAAACTCAGCAAATAAATAGACATTTTGCTCAATTTTGCAGACTATTGCCATATGTAAGTTGGGTTCCTAATAGGCGGACCGCGGTCAGAGTCCGGACCCAGACGCTGTCGTATGCAGACCTGGACCTATAACCGATGAACTATAAATAATTATTTAATTTCAATGGGGTGGTCCTATATTAATCAGTGTAACGTTTCTAGTCATTACGGTACCCGTTTAGCGGCCCGGGAAACTCACAGCCCAATCATATGCCTTGTAAATATCACACATGACGCTACTCAGCCAATCAGATCTGTGCATTATGTTGAGCACTGAGACTCGAGTGAGTGACGCACACACAGGGGAGGGACGAGGCGAGAAACAGCAGTCGGAGAAGAAAGTGAGTCAGAGGGAAGTTATTTCACATGTCGTGCTCTAAAAAGAGAAAACGGACAATAAATGTTGTTGAAATATGACTGAATTGTACTTTATTTGACTTGATATTCAGTTGTTGACTGTATAAGATGTTGATATACCTACTAGGCCACTTCAGTAAACAGTATATGGCACTGAATCATAATACAAGTTAGACATTATGATGTTCTGGACCTTTGCTTGAGGAACTTTTCTCTAATTGGACCTTACTGAATTTTAATTAAATACCCCTGCTCTAGAGGGTGTGTTAACTTATTGGCATACCACTGTTTTTGCATATAATGTCTGTCCTCTCATTAGTTAAGGGGGTGGGGTTACTTTCTGGCCCGCCAAATCAAAGGCCCTACGAACCAACTCTGGGCAGCCCTGTTATAAAGCACAACTGTGTCAGCAATAAAAATTAATGTCGGCACTTTTTCATAATCAACATCGTCAACTTCATCGACCAGTTACAACCGCTGTCGGATCTGGACTCTGCAGGAACAGGGCCGGACACACTGTGCGGTGTAGGGATCTGCCAGGACGGGGACTGAAGCACAGCTCCTGCAGACGCACGGCCTGCATTTCTTACCACCAAACGAAAAGTCTTCACCACCTCTTTGCTGATCCAGAACGGTACCATCTTTCAAGAGTTCAACATTTCTGACACATGAACAAACGGGCGTAGTTAGCGGCTGCGGTGCAAACCAGAAAGCGCAGTGTGTGTTAGTCAGAGGGCGCAGCCTCAAACCCACGGCAGATATCTGGAGTTAGTACAGAGCTGGGTTTTACTCTGCGTTAGTGTGGAAGGGACACTCAGCATTGCAGCTGGGCTCAGGCTGCAATGGCCAGGATGTGAGAGGCCTAGTGCGGGGGTCCACTCTTGTGGGGGAGTCACACAGTGCAACACAGTGCTCACAAACTCTCTCTCATTCTTTCACACACACTCTTTCATTCTCTCACTGCCCCAGTCCCCTTTCTCTATCCTTTCTCCCTCTCTGTCCTCTACACCAAGGGTTCTCAACCTTTTCCACCCCACCTGTTTATAAGTACTTAGCAGGCCGGCCCACAGGAGAAACTGGACTTCACTTTTAAAATACAATTTTCTTTTTCTTTTCTTAAGTGCTGAGACTGAAAACCTGGAAATCAGGGCTAGAAAAAGATCAGATCGTCCATTTCGGTTCCATCACAGGTCCCAAAATTTGCAGTTATGTTAAAAAACATATCACTGCTGTCGTAAGAAAACCTTGTATCTCCAAAATGGTAACTTTACAGGAGAAGGAAAAACATACTGTACTTTTAATGTAAGTCAATGGAACCAGACTTTTTCCCAAGTCATTTTGGGCCGTTTCTTTTGGTCCATTCTCCATGGAATTTACACACAATGTAAAGAGCAACAGGTGGACAAAAACGGAGATACGAGGTTTTCTTCCAACAGCAGCGATATATTTCCAGAGATGTTAAAAAAGGGGAAAAAGAACCGAAATGTACGAGGTGGATGTGGACTGTGATTTGGAGCAGCAGTACATCGGTTTTGTGCGGGCTTTTGGGGTCAATCAGCAATAATAATACACCTTAATTTATATCTGCTTCTTTAGGATTGGTTTATCAGTTTGAGGTCAACCCCTCACATCGCTGACGCTCAGCCAAAAACACGCTCCGATCTACGAGCCAAAATTAAACGTGGATCTTCACTATTATTTTATTTTACAGCAGCTCCTGCTGCAGAAACGAGAGCAATGAGGGTCTGTAAAGAGTGAGACATGAAATCAGGCAGATTGTGCTGACGGTACAACACCGACGGGCTGCTAGAAAGGAAGGAAAGACAGCTTTGTTGATGAATTCCCTCATTTCATCATAGACTGGGTTCCCACCAGCAGTGAACTGAACCAGGGTTCGGTTGAAGCGGACCGAGACCCGCGCACCCCCAGCTGCACTGTCTCAAACTGATGACGTGCAATGTTTTTATTTGTACGTATATTGGTTATAATTTGATTTGTTCGATTTGTAATTATTCAGTGAATCTTGTTTCCACTTATGTTTTTAGGACTCAAAGTGACGTTACTGGCCCTCTACGAACTACTGCCTCCCTAGAAATTCAGACCACTACAGGGTGCTTCGCGGCCCACTGGTGGTCCATGGACCACAGGTTGAGAAATCCTGCTCTACACCCTCTCTGACAGTATCACTGTTGCGATGCCAACAGTCGCGGTCACTTCGTCCCTGAATTATGCAAGCAAAAGATGTTAAGCATGTTATCCTACTGATAAAACCTGTCATTATCAGAGGGTTTGTGAAAAGCATCAAGTTCATACGTAACACACTGAGATCAGACGAACACGAAATCAAGAGATTCTCTTCAAAGGAATCGGTATGTGGTTTGCACAGTGAAAATGTCTTTCAATATCCAGGTTTCCACTGAACAGTCAGATTAAAATTCTGGCAAATAACTGAAATGTCAGAAAAAAATGTGAAAAAGGCAGCATTTTTCTCTGCTGTGTACAGAGAACAAATCTCTCCAAGTCACGTTCGAATAGTTGAAATGTAGAGAAATATAAAGCGAGTTTACAGGGAAACCTTTAATGATGAGCAGCTTCTCTTTACTTTGAACAGTTGATATCTTTTTAGGCTTCATATACTGGTCTATACTTTTTCCTTTAATGAGACACTATGTGCCATGTTTTGTAGCTACAACAAAAACATCTGATATTACATTCTCATTTACATTATTTATTCGTGCTTCTGTCACAATTTATCTGATTTCTTTTTTGACTGCAAAAAATTGATCCACCTCAAGCAATGATTTCTATGCGAATTTTGCCAATTTTATTATATACATTAAAAAAAAAAACATTCTGAAGAACATTCTGTAACACTGGTGTGCTTCGGACCCCTTTGTCGTGTTTTTCTTAACTTAAAGTTGTGAAAAAATGTTTGTAATGGTTGTGAAAGAATTTTTTTCTTTTTTTAAGAATATTTGTAAGAACAAGTTTTCTTGAAAATATTATGTTCTTCAATGTTTTCTTAACCTTACAGCAGCTTCACACTCGTCTTAGGCTGTAAGAGTTGACAAGGTCGGCGTCTAAATTGATCAGTTCACCTGTTCTCGCCCATCTTCGTCTCTCGCTTTCCGCCGTCACCCCACAATTACTGTATTTTCCAATGAGGATTTTTTCCTGTTGGCTGTTTCTTCCTCCATCACCTCCAGTTCTTGTTTGCTAAATTTTTTAACAGGCTTGGTTTTATTTTTTCCTCCATTTTGCTCCTCTGAGTGGATTAAACTAAATAACAGATATAACAGTGAATACCAATTCAAAATGTATCTCGCGTCGTTTATGATACGGGGTAAAACGTAACGTAGCCTACATCAGAAAACAATGAAGATTTTCTTAAGAAAATAATAAAGATCATCTAAAGAGAATATGAGAACTTATGTTTTTTCTTCGAGGATTGCATTTAACAACATTTTTACAAACTTCTCAGCGTTTGTCTTAAGAACATTCGCAAGTTTTTGTGAATCCGACGCCTGATGAGTGATGAGAGAATATTCAGAGAACTCAAATCTTGGTGAAGGAGCATCTACTGAGGATGTGAGTGAATTATCTACTACTGTCATCACATCTTCACCAATATAATGTTACAACACAGAAAAACTCCCGACCTGGCGCCTCTGACTTTTAAATGATTGTTTCAGGCTTTACAGGGCGACTCAGCATATGCTCACCATATTTTAGCCTGTTTATATTCTCCAGACTCAGTAATGCTACTGCTTTCAATTTTAACAAAAAAAAATTCTTACATAGTGCAGCTTTAAGCTCAATACTTTTGACCATCAGTGAGCCATTCAGCACCACTGTGTGGACAAATATTGAAGTGCATATTTTTATGGAGCCTTTGCCTTTTCTTAGTAAGGAACGCTATTAGTGTCCACTGGGGTATTTAAAGATCTATGCGCTATTTTAAAAAAATAATAGCACCCAATCCTAATGCCCATGCACAAAACAACTGTCCCCAGTGGGTTCTGGAGGCATTTACTGCAGGAACATAACACAGATCACTCTATTCGACCACAAAGAACACTGAACAGGCAGAGAACTGTGGCCTGGATTAGGAAATAACACTTATTAAGCGATCACAGAGAGCTCACCACCTCCACCCTGCTCTGATCAAAACCACGGCCTTGGAAAGGGTTCATACTCAGATAGGCCCATCAGCTCTGCAGCTGCACAGATGGGGTGGATCTGGATCTCATATGCAGGTTACTTAACCAATATCCGCTGCGTCTGGACATTAAGTTAAAACCATATAGAACTGAAGTGTGTAAGCTTAATAGAACACTAGTTACTAGAACGTATTCAGTCTGATATGTAATCTCTGATGGGGCTGAAAGATTAATTGCTTTTATATCAAAACTGCCGTTTGAAGGAGAGCATTTTCCATATTGCAGAGCTGTGAGTTTAATTATAGCCCACATCATCAACAAAGTTGTCTTCTGTTTGAAGTGAGGTAATTTTGCTCAATAACACAGAGCTTGTGAACTGTGCATAGATGTAGGGCTGGGCAAATGAATCGAAAAGTAATCGAAACCGACATTCAGGACCTCCAACCGACGTAATCTTGACCATACCAGTTCCCCACTCTGTGTGTTCATGTACTGTCCTCTTAAAAACTTACTACCGCGCATGTCGTCACGTGACTCCGCCATGTCCAGTCTGTGACATGGAAGCTAAGGCTACGTTCAAGCAGCAGGCAAAAGTGGCCCAAATCTGATTTTCTCACCAAATCAGATTTTTTTGTTTGTCTGTTCAGATTATCTTTTAAATGTGATCTGTATGCAACATCAGTCTGAACAGATCAGCTCCTAAACTGACCCACATGCGCTGAAGAGCAGAGCGTCACGCTGCTTCACGGCTCATCCAGAGGTAAACAATCACGACCGCCAACGAACGCCAGTCGCTCCCGGAGGATCAGCTTCATCTTCACCAGCATCACAGGAGCCATCATGAAGCTTCACTGACTGACAGCTGGGCTCATCACCCAGAATGTGTTCGAGCCGTAAAAAGGGCGCGGTCACTTCTTTGGTTCGCGTCCTCGGATTCTTTAAACTCTGCTTTCAGACTTTTAACTGTTCTTTGACGCTGCAGCCTCGTTCTCCTACGACCACATTCAGAAATCTCTTCGAACACGGAGAGTGAGACATGAAATATAACATAATTTTTGTACAGAAATATCACCTCAAATGTTTATGAGTCTCAGCAGCACGAAATTATGACGAATGTCGAGTTGGACTGACGTAAAAGCAGCGTGAATTTCCCATCTGGCTTTTGAGATGATTTACATTAAGATATGCAGAACATATTTACAGTACAAACCTTGTCAGTGAACTATGAGGGCAAAAAAACAAACCCCAAAAACAAAATAATCGTTATCGAGGTAAAATATTCGATTAATCGTGATACTGAGTTGAGGTCATATCGCCCAGCACTACGTAGATGCGCCATGTGTGGTGTACAAACCTCAAGCTAGAAAATGTGGACTATTTTCAGAAATTCAATTCAAAGCACACAGTCACAATTCTGCTCAGAAAAATCGATATTAGATATTTTTCCCGACTCGTTCAGCCCTAACCTCTTATAAAAAAAGCACAAGGCCCTGCTGGAGCTCTGTTTGAGTGCAGCCAGGAAATGAGGGTGAGGAATATCGTGCAGAGACGAAAATGTCTGACGTCTAAAGTTTTTTTAGTAAAGAAAAACGGTTCTCTATAGAATCAACTTTTGCATAAGGCTATATATTTAGATGAAAACATTAGGCTTAATATATATATATAAAAAAAAGACTAAACTTAGGCTATTTATTTAGATGAATATATTTGTATGTATTTACGTTGGAAAGGTACTCTGTTCAAAGAACACAGAACTGTACTGAATTGTTTGTGCTTTGCATCAATTTGCAAGACTTTTTAGTGACTGTTAAACTAGCCCCTCTGTCTGTTCACCTCTGGACTGGTTCTAATGTGTGCACTCACTCTTCTGGCTGAATTATTTACAATTAACCAAAAGCCAAAATGCGTTAGGTTGTGCCTCGCTCTCCCCTAGATAAGCTTCCATTACTTGTTAGCTAAATCAGCTTTGCAGCTCCAGTGCAAAACTAAAGAAGTGAACTTTAGACACAAACACATCTTGGCTGATTGACTACATTTGGGGCGGTGGGACGGATCGCTGAGCTATCGTTTTAAGAGCGAGTTGATACGTTACTGCGTCTAACCCTGAGAGTCTGGTTCTATGATTAGATTCTATTCTTCCCAGTCAATCACTTTAATTTATATTGATTTCCTCTGTCACTCAAACACAAACACACACACACACACACACACTCTCACACACACACACACGTTTACACACACGTGGCCTCGGACTCACTTAATCTGGGTTTCCGCGCTGACTTGCCAAGCTTGAGGTACGGTTCTGATGATGATGTCATAGGAGGAAAACACAGAAGAGGTCACGCAGTGAAGAGAGAGCCAGCAGCTGACAGCTGCCCTTCTGGCCTGCTTTCTCACAAACACAGCCAGGCAGTCTTATCACACCCTGCCACCGACCCACAACCACACACACAAAGCACATTGTGTCTCCCTCTCTCTCATCAGGGGGAGAAATAAGGACAGAGTGGATGAGGGAGGGTTTTCCTCTGTGAAGAACTGAAGCATCTCGTCACTGCCTCGGCTCTACTACACACTCACACTGATAACACTCTGACTATTAACTCTACAGCATTCATACCTGGAACGGTCAGTGGAATTTCATTTTGATAACACTCCGATGAAGAGTCAGCAACGGCACTGACCTTCCAAAAATCAATACATCATTAGTTAGTTCTGCATGACCTGCTGGTCGATTACTGGCCTGGAATATCATATTGCATAAAGCAGCAATACAGCGCACTCAGCACACAAGCGCTCTGACGAATCACAGACACGACGGATCACAGACACGACGGATCACAGACACAACGAATCACAGACACGACGGATCACAGACACGACGGATCACAGACACGACGGATCACAGGTGAATTCAGACATTCTGACTTTGTAAACAATTGAATGTTTAATAGTGCTTTAACAACAGATAGACAGAAAGAAAGACAGACAGTCAGAAGACAGACAGACAGATGACACAGATAAACAGATAGAAAGACAGACAGATGAATATATAGACAGACAAATAGACAGATAGGCAGATATAGATAGACAAATAGATAGATAGACAGATAGACAGACAGACAGACAGACAGATAGACAGACAGACAGATAATAGATAGACAGATAGATAGATGGACAGATAGACAGACAGACAGATAACAGATAGACAAATAGATAGAACGATAATATGATACAAAAACAGACAGAATGATCGACAGAATGACTGACAGATAGATAGATAGATAGATAGATAGATAGATAGATAGATAGACATACAGATAATAGACAGACAAATAGAACGATAATATGATATAACAACAGGCAGAATGACACTGACAGAACGATAGACAGAATGATTGACAGAATGACTGACAGATAGACAGATAGATAGATAGATAGATAGACAGACAGACATACAGATAATAGACAGACATACAGATGTGCCATTCTGCCTGTTGTTATATAGATAGACAGACAGACAGACAGACAGACAGATAGATAGATAGATAGATAGATAGATAGACAGACAGACAGAGCCACAGACTGATAATAGAATATACCAAAAGGCAGAACGACAGAGCGACAGATAGAACAGAACACTACTTGCTCAGTACAATGCAATATGATATTTAGCCATTATTGTGCAGCCTGACCCTCCAGTGATTCCTAACGATGCACTCAGACATATATATGTAGGCTGTTACCTGAGTTACGGGTAGAAGGGGCAGCAGCAGGCGTGAAGCCGCCGTTTGATTGGTCATTGGTTTCTCCGAAGTCAAAAACAGGTTTAGGCTTAGGGACGTACTCTTTCCGTGGACGAGACTGGGCCTCATTGATCCTATTCACGGCAACAAGCAGAAAAGACAAACAAACAACTCATTATTTTAAAAATGATGAAATCACAAAATCATCATCTATGTATCTCGATACAACCACAAAACAAGAGTTTCACATCAGTTAAAGTAATTATAAAACACAGCTCCAGTTCTAAAATCTAACTGTCTAAAGTTGAGTACTTGATGCACACAAATGACTGCATACATTAACTGAATTCTGTTTCATGCTGCTTGGAAATCGTAGTTTAACATTAACAAATTATATTGCTTGACAGAAGAACTGTTCACTGCAATTGTAATTTGAAGTTATTTATTGAACACTGGTAATCTTATCATATAACAGTTACAGGTCACTTGCAATAAGTCACTCCAGGGCGTGCATTACAGTGATGTCATTCCGCTTCATGCAGTGTCCAACAGTGCTTAACCGTGGGAAACACACTGTACCTCATATTTCTCATGGTTTATTGCTGTATTTCCTCTGTGGTCTATTAGCAAACTCACCTGTCTTTCAGCTTGTCTGCGAGCTCTTCGAGGATCTGTACAGCCTGCCTGTGATACTGCAGCTGAGACTCCACCAGCGACGACAGCTGGCTCACCTGCTCGATCTGCAGAGAGAGAGGAGAGATGGCCATTTATACAATGTCCCATACATACAAATACATATAAATACGTATATATATATAAATACACACACACACACACACACACACACACACATATATACACCGATCAGGCATAACATTATGACCTCCTCGTTTCTACACTCATTGTCCATTTTATCAGCTCCACTTACTATATAGGTGCACTTTGTAGCTCTATAATTACACTGCAGTGACACTGACGTGGTGGTGTGTTAGTGTGTGTTGTGCTGGTACGAGTGGATCAGACACAGCAGTGCTGCTGGAGTTTTTAAACACTGTGTCCACTCACTGTCCACTCTATTGGACACTCCTACCTTGTCAGTCCACCTTGTAGATGTAAAGTCAGAGACGACAGCTCATCTGCTGCTGCACAGTTTGTGTTGGTCATCCTCTAGTCCTTCATCAGTGGTCACAGGACGCTGCCCACAGGACGCTGTTGGCTGGATATTTTTGGTTGGTGGACTATTCTCAGTCCAGCAGTGACACTGAGGTGTTTAAAAACTCCAGCAGCACTGCTGTGTCTGATCCACTCAGACCAGCGCAACACACACTAACACACCACCACCACGTCAGTGTTACTGCAGTGCTGAGAATGATCCACCACCCAAATAGTACCTGCTCTGTGAGGGTCCATGGGGGTCCTGAGCACTGAAGAACAGGGTAAAAGGGGGCTAACAAAGTATCAGAGAAACAGATGGACTACAGTCTGTAACTGTAGAACTACAAAGGGCATGCCTGATCGGTGTATACATATATATAAACACACAAAACCCAAATCTAACAATATATCCCGTATGTATTACATGTATGTCAGTATCTACATGTAACAATACTAACATGCCTTCTACAGATGTATGCAAATTTTTGCGCGCTCCTAGTCAAACGACACGTTTAGATGGTTTTGTTGAAGTAAAAATAAGTTAACACATCCTAAACAGAGAATCAAATATAAGGCACAAATATATACTAACTGTGCATTAACATTTGCAGAAAATGTTTTTTTTTAAATAGTTTGCTTCAAGGGTTGTGTTTACTTCTTTTGTACTTCCAAAAAAACAACAACAAAAAAACAAAAAAAAAAAGTCGAGCAGGTGTGCCCAAACTTTTGCATACAACTGTGTATGTTATTTGCTTATTTCCTGATGCGGAAAAATGAATATCTTGTCTTTAATGACTGGCTTGAAGGGTGGTCTCAGACTTCGACAGTATTGTATACATAATTTTTTTATTTTTGTCAGTTTTTACTGACACACACACACACACACACACAGACACACGTCAACTACACAACACATACACAATCACACACACCTTCTTAACCCTCCCTTTCACACAGCTTCATAAGAGTTAATGAATAACGTCCGCTGTGAGGTCAGAAACAGCACACAGCGGCCCTGCTTGCTTTCACAGTTCACTGCTACCATTCAGGAATGTGCTACTGATATCAGACAACTCTGAGCGAGGCCATAAAGTCAACACACGTTTCAATAACACTGCACGACAACCGGATTTCATCAAATTCTTTCTAAAGGTCAGTCTTATATCTAGAGAGCTATAAGGTTCCCTACATTTGTCCATTTCAAAAATATAAGCAGAGTTCAGTATTGTCCACTAGGTGGCACCGTAAGCTCTCCAGGGAGCAGCAGACGTGAGCAATGAAAAAAAAACCCCAGGATCTTCTTACAGCGTGTGAATAATCTCTGCTGCAGCTTTAGAGGAGGGGCTGAGCTGTGGCTATCCCACACTAATGAAACCAGGCAGGTTGGAAAACATACGATCCACAGCCAAACTATAAAACGGTCTCCATGAAACGGCCAATAGGGCTGCAAAGTTTTTCGACAACTGTCAACAAGTGAAAACACAGCAAAACAAAATCTACAAAGTCGAGAATAACACCAAACAATGAGTTAATAAAAAACATTCAGAGAAAGGAAACACAGCACAGCAGGCGTGGGAGACGCTAGACTGCTCACAACAAAGTCAGATTCAGGGGGCTGCAGTTTTTGATTCCTACAGCCACCGTTACGCATTTTTTCCTGTATTTATCCTTTTTCACAAGAGGTGTCAACTAAGTTGAATCTAAACTTTTATTTCAGGAATAGCGTATTCTTTCAAAAGCATATGGTGCTGAATTATTGGTACCCCTTAACAGTATTTTCAACAAAACCAAAAAAAGTCTTTGGAGACATTTTTATTTCTTTCCTCCTGGTCTCCAGGAACTCCACTGATGTCTATGACCATTTCCGTCACCGTTTCCCTGGTGTAGAAATATGAGGTTACACACATGTAAGATCCTTCCATCATCCATCAACATGTGTAAAACCAAAGAGCTATTAACTTTGTTGTGGACCTTCACAGATGAGGAAATGGTTTTATATATGTCACAATCAAGGCAATAATAAACGTCTGAAAAGCATGAGCATTGAAAATTAGCCAGGAAGAACATGCATAAGCACTCTGCCCCCACATACAGTGAGCAGGCAAAGAGAATCCAAAAATCAGTTTCAAAACAGCACAGTTTAGCTGAATCTTGGGGGCTTTCAAATTTCACAATCCACTGTCAGACACCACCCCCATCACAGACCCTGACTGGAGGAACACCATGAATAATGCCTTTCCTAAGAACCACCTACAAAACACAGCAGCTGAACTTTGCAAATGTCTCTATAAATACAAATGGGATCAGATGGTGTGGTCAGATTAGACAAAAATGAAACTTTCTGGTCATGCATGCCAATGTCACGGCGAAAAAATGGACTGCATAGAATAAAAAAGCTATTGGTCCAGAGGTTCTTGTGAAAATCAGGTGATGTAATGATCCACTATACATCTGGATACTTAGGCCCGAAATCTGGCTGCCTCTGCTGGAAAATTAAAACGTGGCCATGGGTGGACCTTTCAGCAAGACACTAGCTGTGTCCCGATTCAGGGGCTGCATCCTTCAAAGGACGCGGTCTACGAAGGCGTGTCCTACAAAGGCTGTGTAGACCCGAACTGAGCTGAAATGAGACGCTCTGCTCTAAGGCGGATTTTCTGTTTACGTCACAGCACCGCTGTTCCCTCCCTTACTGGTGCATCATGAATGCAGCTCTTGTCGAGATATTTTAGGTGTTTAAAGACAGAGCCAAAAACTTTGATTTCATTTATTTATTTTTTTCTTTTATTAGAGCTGGAGATGCTTCTCTCTGTCTGCTCTTTGCCCCCTAAAACAAAACGAAACATTAGCCTAAGTTTTGCCCCAATGCATACATTTAAAAGCGTCTCCCCAGCCACCGTCGCTCCTTTGTTGACGCTGCCATGTTCTCGAATACTCGCGGAACCTTGGGATATGTTGGCTGGTGAAGGATCCACCTGTTGGATCCTTCGCTGCCATGGAAAAGAAGGACACATTTCTTGGCTGCATATGAAGGAGACTTAGAAATGGGACGGTCTAGTCGCGCCGCTGTGACACAATCATCCTTCAAACGCAGCCTCCGAAGGATGCAGCCCTTGAATTGGGACGCAGCTACTGACCCACTTTTTTGTGTATATGTGTGAGTTTGGGGTCATTATGTGAACCCAACTTAAACCCTGTGGTGTGTGTTGAGGGCAGTTCACAAGCCCAAGAATATCAAAGAACTGTAACGGTTATGCATGAAGGAGTGGTCCAAGATCCCTCAACAAGGGTTCTCTAACCTTGTTTTGCATTACAGACAGCAGCTCCTACTGTTATTCTCATCAAGGGAGGCTTCACCAAATATTAATCATGGGGGTGCTCATATTTTTAAAACCTATGTTTGAAAACAATAGTGTTACTAAACACACCGTATAAATAAAAAGATGCAGCTTGTCCATTTATTACGCCTGTAATAACACTGGTTTATTTAAAATATTGATTTTAGCTCATTTTCATGAAGGGTGCCAATAATTCTAGAGCTGACTTATAAACCTATGACCTATATAAAGGCCAATTTTGTGTATCGATTGAGAATCTTTCAAGAGAATCGTGATGCATTTAAACACGGTGTGACAGTACAGTACTACAGACAGACTCACGCACACATATACTAAGCACTCACATCGGTCTCCAGCAGGTTGTACATGCTGATCTCCGCCACCTCTTTAGACTCGTGGAATTTCTCCAGCGCCTGCTTGACCTCCTCGTCCGGAATCTTTCCCTGACGCTTCTTCTTGTAGTCATAATCCAACCGACGGCCTTCCAGCTTTTTCAAGTGATGCTGTGAAAATTACAGGAGAAAGTTGTTGAAGTAATCCAGTGTTTACAGTCAGATTTTAATCCAGTTTGAATCTGCAGTGTGTGTAGTTTTCAGTCTGACGGTAATAACTGTGGAGCGAATTTAATCCAGTATGAATCTGCAGTGTGTGTAGTTTTACAGTCTGACGGTAATAATTGTGGAGTGATTTTAATCCAGTATGAATCTGCAGTGTGTGTAGTTTTACAGTCTGACGGTAATAATTGTGGAGTGATTTTAATCCAGTATGAATCTGCAGTGTGTGTAGTTTTACAGTCTGACAGTAATAACTGTGGAGTGATTTTAATCCAGTATGAATCTGCAGTGTGTGTAGTTTTACAGTCTGACAGTAATAATTGTGGAGTGATTTTAATCCAGTATGAATCTGCAGTGCGTGTAGTTTTACAGTCTGACAGCGTCCTAAAATGACCCGCATGCGCACCATCCTACTCAGTAACGTCATGTCAATGAATCAGCGAGACGTAGGAGAAAAAGGTGAGACGTGTTGCTTTTCCACCATTTATAGGTTTTAACTTCTGTTCGGTGCTGTTGCCATGGTAATGCTGAATGCTGGCACAGTGGAAAAAAGCACATGAATTCCAATCTGAGCGTTTACATTAAGGTCACAGGGCCACGAATCTGATACGTATCCGATCTAGGACCACATATGAAAGTGACTCAGGTCGGATTTGAAAAGATCAGATTTGTGTCCACACAGCTCTGAAAACATCAGATCTGAGTCACATTAAGGCAAAAAGTTGGATTTGTACCACTTCAACCCGGTAATGTGAACGTAGCCTTATATTAACACCTATACTTGGCAGCGGCTACAAGCCGTATAAGACTTCTATGCCTTCTACAGCCAGCGAGCTGTTCTGAGCTAGTTTTGAGGAATAACTATTGCGACTGCATGTGATACATCACAATATATCAAACTGACACACATCGTGATGAGTACTGCGTCATGAGCTAGCTGGCGATTTTCAGCCATAGCCTGACAACAGTGGTTTACTTCAAACAACAAAAGAACTACACAAAAAATGAACCACTGTGAAACAGGCAGGTAAAGTTTATATACACACGACACTTCAAACATGAATACAGCAGCACACTCTTTTCTACATAAAGACATAGTGAACTGATGGCGTCCTGAGCAGAGAATGAAGTTACGCCCCATCTATATATGTAATCTGAGCTTCCCTGTTTTTTTGTTTTTATAGCCGGTCTGGCCATGTGTGCATGTTAGTCCTGCCCTGTGAAAACGTCGGCCCTCCCCACGTTTCGTTCTGCCCTCCCCAGACGGTGACCGTCCGCACAACTTATTTGCACCTTTCAAGGTGGAACGGGAAAAATCAATCAAGATGCTGAGGTGCCGGATTGTATTCTTAACTGCTGCACCATTTAAGGTGGAATGGGAAAATTTGAACAAGAAGCTGGCAAAAAAGGAGCTGACTTCAGCTCCACTGAGAGCTGAAATGCCTGAAAACAGATGAGGAGGTTGCAACTGCTGGACAGGTGGGTAACATTAACTAATGTTTGCTATTTCACAGATTCAATAGGTCAGTATTGTTTTGTCCTGTTTTTGACGGTCCGTGGTAGCAACTGGTTAGCTTTTCAGCAGCAACTGTAGCGACAGTTACTCACAGCCTAGCTAACGGTAGCTACATTACTTGCTGTGTCGTTGTTCACTCTAACATTATTTCCTGGTATTTGTCTGTACAACAATTGTGAAGGGTTTTATGGCCACAAAGACCTAAAAAAAAGCATGATGGCCTCGACAACGCATGTCCATGAATTCGGGAGGCGGGGCTTCTGAAGGAGCACTGATGTGAGGGGCGTATTTGTTTTGCTGTACAGTTCAAATATCAACAATTGTTCTCCAGAATCGTATAGTGCTTCTTTAAAGAACACTCTGCACTGCTTGTGTCTAAATCCATGTGTCAATGTCCTCCATCCAGTGACCCAAGTGACTACATTGGACCAAACTCAGGAAAGGGGAGGTGTCAGAACAAAAGACATGGTGTTCGAACCACCACATCTTTCTGGTCAAAAGACGTCCTTTGCTTTGTTCATTTAATCTATGGTGCCAGTTTGAGTCACCTGTATCTCTCTCAGGTCCTTGTCACACAGGCCTTGCAGAGGATCGATGAAGTTCTGTTTGACGTCGATGTCTAAAGAGTCCTTCACCTCAGCCAGTCTCTTCATACTCTCACCAGCGTCGATCAGAGCAGCTCCTGTAACAACAGCTCAGCTTGAGTTACAGCAGCTCCTACACACGAGTGAAAGCAAGCAAAATTATAGCAATCTGAAACAACACAAACGGTGCTCTGCTCCAACACTGACCCACACTCACCCAGAGCGAGCATCTCTCCCCCTCACAGTAAACGCAGTGATTTAACATGTAATAAGAATTAGCTTGAGATATAACACAGGAGAGGCTCATGGAAACTGTTGCTGTTATACGTTTTAGCACAGCACAATTTAGTTCATTCAAGCAATGTTTGTTGTAGATCCTCATTCTTAATAATGGCAAAAAAAGAGACATTTATTAAGGGTGTAATGCATTTTCAGGTTGATGTCAGGAATATATTTTCAATATTTTACATGTTAATAGAGTTCTTAACTCCACAGAGCTCTAATTCTACTCTAGACAGATTGGTTTGGCTCATATAAATAAAAGCTCTCCAACAGAATTTTTCAGCACCTGCTCAGCTGCCCTCCTACAAAATCACAACCACTAGAATTTATGAGCTCATCAGAAAAAAAAAGTAAAAAAAATAATAATAATAATTTGAATGTGGGGGGTGTCTAAGGCTGAAAGATGAATCTCTATCTAAGACGAATCTTTCTATACCGAAATCGCAACTTAAGACAACGTAATTTTAAAATCACAGGAGCTGCGATTTTTCATGTTCAAGTCTACATGATCAAAAACACTGTCTTAAGTTTGAAATTAGGAAATTAACCTAATATCACAGAGATTGTGAACTGCCTGTAGATGAGTTAGGCAAATCAGATCCAACCAAACCTCCATGTGTTGTGACATCACAACCACAACTTACTGGCAGTCTGGCTCACTGCATTCAGGGGTCAAGCCTCAAGCAATACTTTTCCCCATATCATTCCAAGCCCCCTCTCCACCCCCACTTTACCTAGTTTTGACCACTGACAGACCACTTTCTGTATTTTTCCTGCAAAAAATGGTGAATGAGAGACGCTCAGAAGAGAGTGAGGGGTATATCAGTAGTTGGTATAAATTTTTTTCTAATGTTCTTTTTTGATATTGTACCAAAACATTACAGCCTAATTATGTAATTATTAAGTGAATTATCTAGGTTCACATGCCTGCTTAATGACATTAAAGGAAACAACAGCCTTTTCTCCTACTTCAAAAATCTAAACTATTTTTTCCCCCAACAGAAGCATTTCTAAACAAACATTCTGGAAAATCCAAACGTTTTCAGACTGGTCCCAGTGGAATCTCAATCCTGAAATGTGTTTAGGAATGTGTGTCTGTCTGAACATTCCACTCACTTTATGAGCTTCCTCTAGTTATTTACAGCGTTCTGTGGGATGTTTAACAAGGACATGAACATCTGCTTACACAGATCTGGGACACATCCAGATAATGGAACTTAATAAGCAGATTTGTGGCTACAAGTTGTCGATGGTTTCATTAAAATTCGGCCATATTAGGCTTTCAACAGTGCAGGAATTACACATTGGATTGATTTATTAGTACAAATCAGCCAAATTACCAATCTGTTAACATTATAGGTGTAGGTTTGTGACCTCACAACAATTTGATTAGAATTCCATAGGAAATGATTCACAAATCTCAAATTTCACCATGAATTGAGTCAGATAGACTAAATGTACAAAGATGACTTCTGAAAATACTGTAGTGTATACACTTACTGGAATATAGACCATAAAATAATACATCAAGTTTTTTTTAAATTTTGACATTCAAAAACAGCTCAAGAATTTTATTTTGGCCAAAAAATGAGAACATATTTTAGTGAAATTCATAATTGACTCCAACAGTCCAAAATGGATGCATTTTATCAAATCCATATTGATGTATTGTTACATCCCAACGCACAGAGAAGTTAGTTTCACTGCACAACTAAATTTGCAGGTAAACCCACCGAAGTTGGTGTCTTCCCCGAGGTCTCGGCCGTATTTGGCCATGCACTCTCCCAGCAACCCCTCCGCCTGCGGATAGCCTGGACTCTTCACCTGCCCGCGGATCTTCGACATGGTGTTCAGCATGGACAGTTTGGCACGGGATGCTAACACAGACAAACACAAACATTTGCACCAGCTTTTCAAACTTTTAAACTACTTTTAAACAGCAGATGCCTTCATATAGTTTCATAATGAAACTGGGACAAGAAACGAGCAAAACATGCTTCCATTACCTGTGAAGGAGCAAAGAAACTCTGACTTTCAGTTTAAAGCCACAGTTCAAAAGGAAATCAAAACGCAGACAGATCAGATAAGACAGTTTTAGTGTCTGACGTTCGCATAGTTAGATTTGCACTGCAGCTATGAGCTAATATAGCTAACAAGTAACAGAGGCTAATAAAAGGTAGTTGTCCTAACAGACTTCCTCGTGCTCTCTCCCTCTCTCCCTCTCAGCAGTAGCAGGAAAAAACAGCACCTCTGCACTTCTTAACGGCAAAAGGACCCTAACCCACCCACCCCCCCCCAAAATATTTGACATTACAGTCAATATTTTACCATTTTTCACCATATTTTAGTTCAGTCTGTTCTATTTGCATCTATCAAGCTAGCTATCTATCTATATATCTATATCTACATATCTGTATCTCTCTCTCTCTCTCTATATGTATTTATATATATGTGTGTGTGTATATATATACACACATACTTACTATATTTATATGAACACAATCGCTGTTCTCGGAAGAAAATTTGTTGTTTTTCAGTTTTTGACACATTTTGAAAATGCTTGTTGTCCTTTACATTGTGTGTAAATTTCATGATGAATGGACCAAAAGAAACGACCCAAAATGACTTGGAAAAAACGTCTGGTTCCATTGACTTACATTAAAAGTAAAGTAGTTTTTTTCCTTCTCCTGTAAAGTTACCATTTTGGAGATATGAGGTTTTCTTCCAACAACAGCGATATATATATAAAATCTTAAAACGAGCAGCTTCTACCGCTGACTGGATGCGTGCCCACCTGAAACTACAGTCAATGTTCATGTTTACAAACATTCTGATTTGGTCTATAAGGGAGAACATCTTGTTTTATTTCCATGGCAAACTAACCCAACATTTCATAATTACACCAACGTTCAGGGCTTTAGGGCGTCCCGGCGAAGAACTGACAAGCCAGAAGAACAAGACTGAATGGGAAAAATCTAGAACAATGTGAACGGAGAAGAACATTCTAGGGACGCCTTTCAATCACACATGGGCACGGCACATCAACGTAACATCTTGGTTTGTTGGAGAATGCTGGATGGATGCAGCTTGGGCTATAAAAGTAATCTCATACAGGAGCTGCAAAACCAAAGCCTGGAACAGAACGCCTGACTCAATAAACCCTGACTGAGCTAAATAAAAGCCTCAGTGAGCTTCAAGCAAACAGAATAGAAGCATTATAGAGAGCAGAGAAGCACAGAGCCGTGCTCTACAGCTGCTTTGTTTTAATACTGATTAAGTACATGAACACTACGATGAGTCTGGACATCCATATCTTTGATTAAATCACAACCATCCCTACTACTGGACAAGGCATAGCTCCATCCTTACCTGGATTGGGCTGCAGGTATTCGGACGTTTTGGAAATGACCTCTACCACGGCCTTACTCGTCACATCGACTTTCTGCAAAAAAACAGAGGACATTCACATACAGGCCTAAAATGTACACTACAATCATTCTCTTACAGTATCGCAATATTCTGTGTGAAAAAATACAATGTTTTGGTTATTACTTTAATTTCATTTTAGTTTAATTTTAATTAATACATCTGCTACATGAATAAGAGTGCTAGATTCCTAGTGCTGCATTCCCTTATTAGGGATGTGTATTCTGACGAATTTAGATATTTGTAAGAGTTAATGAACTATTATTTCAAAAGATGAATAAAAAAAGAACATTGGTTTTGGCTGATATTTCTGTATCGTAGTTCTTACTCATAAAACACAGACAGGGCAAACTGGTGCTGTATTGCTGGCAGGATAATCAGTAGCAAAATGGAACGTTTAGCAGTAAACTTAGGTACACATTTAAAACCATGTGTTATTATGCAAAAATAGCCAGAAGACCTGTGTGTTTTTGCATCAGACAAGGACTGAGTAATGGAGGCTGCCTATTCAGATGGGCTAATGAGCTAAAAGTAACACTAGAGCTAACCAGTGCAGTGGCAGATTGTTTTTTGTTCTTAGTGGATGATGTTCCAACATGTTAGTATGTCTAAGTAACACTGAAAACAGTTTAATATATTTCAATTGCTTTGGTTCTAGTTAACAATGCCAGCTAAGGTAGTTAGCCTAGTTACAACCACATTGTCATTCTCAATTAAATGCACTTGTATTTTGGGGCAGCAAAAAATAATAAAAAAAAAAATATATATATATACACAATATAATGTATATATAATATATATATACATTTTTGCTGCCTCAAAATACAAGTGCCTATATATATATTGTTTTTTTTTGTTTTTTGTTTTTTTTTGTTTTTTTTTTCTGCTAACGTGAGCACAACTGCCCCACTTTACAACCCTTTTAAAAACTTGGCCTGTATTTTTATACATACCTGAATAGAGATTTCAATACTCGAGTGGTAGCACCTAAAACAGTTAAGCCGATTACTCATCCTCTCGCAATACTTGTCATATCACAGATTTATAAATTGCAACAGAATTATAGCACAATGTTATCGGAATCAAACTGATATCAGCAGATATTTGCTTGCACAAATTATCAGCATCAGCCAGATGTTCAGACTTGATTGACATCTGAAGCTGGTGTTTGATGAGTTATTTATTGTTCTCCAGAGGAGCAGAATGTTTAAGCAACACTGGGCTACTGCGCTAAAATATCTGCATTTAACTCATTTTACTTGCATATACAACCTTACTGAAATAAATAAGTGTTAATCCAGGTTAATGTAGACCCAATTTCTATATTTTACCAATACACTATATGGACAAACACATAGGGACACGCCTCTTAGTCACTGAATTCAGGTGTTTTATTCAGTGCCTTTTCCACAGGTGTACAAAATCAAGCACCGAGCCATGCAGTCTGCCTTTACCAACATTTGTGAAAGAACGGGTCGTTCTAAAGAGCTCACTGAGTTCGAGCGTGGTGCTGTAATAGGATGCCACTGAGGCAAAAAGTCAGCCTCCTAGATTTTCCACAATCAACTGTGAGTGATAACTGAAAAGTGGAAGCGTTTAGGAACCACAGCAACTAAGGAATGAAGTGTCAGACCATGTAAAGTTACAGAGCGGGTCGCTGAGCGCTGAGGAGCATAGAGCACAAAAGGCACCAACACTGCTGATCAATAACTGCAGAGTTCAAACCTCCTTTGGCATCAACATCAGCACAAAAACTGAGTGCTGGGAGCTTCATGGCAGGGTTTCCATGGCTGAGCAGCTGTATGCAAGCCTTACATCACCAAGCACAGTGCCAAGCGTCGGATGGAGTGGAGTAAAGCGCCGCTGCTGGACTCTGGAGCAGTGGAAACGTATTCTGTGGAGTGACGAATCACACTTCTCTATCTGTCAGTCTGATGGACGAGTCTGGGTTTGGCGAATGCCAGGAGAACGTTACCTGCCTGGCTGCACTGTGCCAGCTGCAAAGTTTTGTGGAGGGCCATGATGCTATGGGGTTGTGTTTCAGGGGTTGGTCTAGAACCCTTAGTTCCAGTGAAGGGAAATCTTAAAGCTTCAGCAGATCAAGACAGTTTGGACAATTCTATGCTTCCAACTTTGTGGGAACAGTTTGGGGGAGAACCTTTCCTGTTCCAGCATTACTGAGCCCCAGCGCACAAAGCAGCTCCATAAAGGCCTGGCTGGGTGAGTCTGGTGTGGAAGAATTTGACTGGCCCACACAGAGCCCTGACCTCAACCCCATCCAACACCTTTGGGATGAACTAGAACGGAGATTGTGAGCCAGGCCCTCTCGTCCAACATCAGTGTCTGACCTTCTGGATGAATAGGCAGAAATTCCCACAGACTCTCTCCAACATCTTGTAGAAGCTTCCCAGAAGAGTGGAAGCTGTTACAGCTGCAAAGGGGGACCGACTCCATATTAATGTCATAAAAGCTCCTGTAGGTGTCCCAATACTTCTGTCCATATAGGGTGTGCATGTGTACATAACTGCTAATGCCGGTATATATAGAACAAATGTCGTACCACAGTTCACATATTTGCGCATCCCTAAACAGAACCGGGGCTCAAGTATTGTTGAGCCTCCAGTGATTCCCACCCCAACATGTGATTGTTGTTCTTTGACAAATGTAGTAATACGAATCCATTACTAAACTGGTACTGGACTCGGTGAAGCTCTGGTGCTGCGAGAGAACCTCCTACGTCCATGTTTTATTCAGTTATTTATTTTGTCTCCAGGCATTTCACAGCTACGGGCGCTGAAAACGTGTCAACACACATTAAAGTTTTATGATAATGACGCCAAAACAGCAAAATCAACACTGCAGGCTTTCTTCTCTCCTCAAAGAGTGGCTATTCAGGCCTTTGCAACAGCACTAAAACATTAAGTCCTGATAGATTAACATGTTAATAGCATTTTATGTCAACAGATGAGTAAAACGAGTGGACTACCTTTATGAACAATATGCACAGAGTAGTCTGGGTCTAAACTTTACACCCAGTGTGGGTGAAGAGCACGGCGCAGTGTGCGCATGCCAGCCATGGCAGCTGGTGTGAGTTGCTGGAGCAGGTGTAGCAGCGCGTCTGTTACCGCTCCAGTTTATGGAGTTTATGCTGACTGACTTCTCCACACAAACAGCAGCAGGTTAAGTGCAGCTGACATTTAACTGGGAGGTGTTTGTTTCAGTAGCAATGCTGGGGCGGCTACTGCAGAACTCACAGGCATTATGTATTTGGGTCATTCTACAGAAACGTCCATTTTCGTGTCCCTAGCGTTTACAGATATATTACACTTGGAAAACATGTTAGGGTTACAATTTATTTATATTTTAAAATAAAACAATACGTTATTTGATCAATTACACCTTCTTGAGCCTCAATTTAGCAATATTGGTTTTTAAATCACTTATCTAGAATTCCAAGCACCACAGAAGAGCTCGTCCCCACAGTTATGTGTAAAGGCTGAGGCCATATTTTGAAGAAAAAAAAAACACGTTTTTCTGCAATTTTAACTGCAATAATCTATACATGACTATGAAGTATATTAATTAAATGACAAAGAAAACAAATGCCTAATAAATATTATAAAAATATATAATGAAAGTTCCCCAGGAGTCGTGTCACTGGTGTTACTGCGTAACAAAAAAAACTCTTATTTTGAAATAAAAGTCACACTGATGACATCACTTGACCTCCTTCTACCTGTTTTCTGAGGATCTATGAAGAAAAGCTCATGGTGAGTCCACTGTGTCTTTCAGTTATCAGAGATTTTCTCATTTAGCTCATGATTTCATACGAAGCTTTTAGCTGAAGTCACTGGTGTGACCGACTTTATTCTGAGGTAATTGTGAAAAAACAGAATACAAATGGATTAAATTACATATTTTAGTGGATATTCCATGATTGACATGTGGTCTGATGCTCTGTAGCAGCTATTTAGTAAAATACACTGTTCATTAAAAATGTCTCTGGTGTTCCCTTTATTCTGTGTAACATCAATGAGGATCAGTAACACCAGTGACTCCTTTGGACAGATAGAAAAGTGGATGTTTCTGTAGAATGACCCATAACTGAGAGCGAGGCACTGTGTAGCGTTTAAAGTAAATGCTATGCATTCAGTATAACAGGATCAGAGGTTGTTTTCTTATTTTTTGATGACTAGTTCAACAAAAAGTTGGTGTCTGAAGTTTGCACTGGTGCAATTAGGCTAATGTAGCTAACAATTAATAGAAACTTAAGTAAACCAATCAGCACAACGCAAACTGCATGATTGGATCATCACATTTTCCCTCAAACGAGTTGTTAAATAATCTTAAACAGATTTTCTGACACTGTACAACATACTGTAATCTACAAACATGGACAAAATTCAGGATTTGAGATAGTTGCTCTACTTTTTCCATATATTTTTTATTAAGCCTGTCAAACTGATTGACACAAATTATTTGTCACTGCTTTCCTTTATAACACTGTTTACATATTTTCCTAGTTTGACCCTTTGACCCATCCATACTAGTGAAGCCCAGCTGCAGCGCGCTGCATGTTGCTCTGATTGAATCAGCGACTGTAACGCCTCCCGTTCAAACACAGCTTTTAAAAGGCTTTTAAGGTAATAAATTCCAGAGTGTGAGTGGAATGAAGCGTCAGCAATTTCCTCTCACCGCTTAAAAGGTTCTGCTATGGTGCCGTATTACATGCACTCAATAATCCGACAACTGCAGAAAATCAGATTTTGTCAGTGATCCGATCAACACGTTTACATGCACTTGAGTAATCAGATAATGGGGAAACTCCAGGTCTACATGAGTCAGACAGTAATCGGATTTCTGCTTTACAACCAGCCAATAAACTCACAGAAGAAGACGTGACGTAAACGTAACGTAAAACTCAAATTTCATGCCACTGCTTTTTTTAAAACATCGCACCACTTTACCGGAAAATATGAACAAACATCATCTAGAAGGTGAAGAATATTCAAATCC